AACCACAGAAATATTGTGTGAGTTGACTTTTAGGCAGCGGGCGTAGGGTCGGGTACAACATTTGTAGGAACCCTACCACCGTCCATATATAAACCTACGCCCACGCTGTTATGTGCATTCTGTCCATATGTAAATCACGTGCTATAGAAACCCTCCGTGCACCAGCTAACACTTCAACACTGTAGATCCCAGAGCCTGAAGAAGAGCAGGCGCAGTTTTCCTCGTGTTTGTCACATCGGCGCTAAATGTAGGAAACACCTTCACACTCACGGCCTTTTTTTTTTCTCTGACGTCTGTCTTCTGTTTTCTTAATTGCTCCTTATTTACCCAAATCCACTCATCTGCGAATAATCTGCGTCTTGCTCACAGCTCACCTCAGATCCTCTGAAGACGACCTCACCGGGCAGGGTGTCGTGTTGTATAACCCCCGTGCTACTGAGGCCGTGATCTAAATCTGTTCATCACGCAGACATGTGGAGAACATATTCGTTTAGAGATCTTCACCTCATGATCATATAATAGTATAAATGGAAAATGTAGTAACCTGGTTATGTTATAATCGTGTCACTGGACAAGGGGCTTTTATGTGATCTCAACTGGCTCTTTTTGTTGTTGTTGTTGTTGTTTTTATCCAGAGGGAATGAAGATGAGAGGTTCAAAGCCTGACGCTAACGGCTCCCAGAAACTGTTGAGTAAAGAAGTGCGTTGACTGCCATCATCTCTCTTCTTTTATTGTTTTTTTTTTTTCTCCATACATAATTTAATCATTTTGCATTCCTAAACTCTGTTTTTGCCAGGATGAAGACCTAAAATGGGTCGAGGAGAACATTCCTACAACTGTCGCTGATGTGTAAGTAGTAAATTTGAATTTAAGACACTGAGCTGACACTCGCAGGGACAGTCTCTGTAAGGTCAAAATACCCCATAATGCCTTCACAGTGCAGCCTTGTGCCACACACACACACACACACACACACAGTATCACCTTTCCTGGAATTTGTGAGGGAGTAAGGTGCTGGATTAGAACTGTAATCCTTTTTAATATGTCATCTCATCTCAGTTTGTGTAAATGTATTATTGTCGCTTACAGCACCATCATCGAGGACGTTTAAAGCTAGAGAGATAGAGTTAATAATCAAACAGCGAAATACCTTCAGTATCTCCTTCTCTAATCTCTCACTGCTTCGTCTCTCCACACAGAGCTCTGCCTGTCATGCTCGATGAAGAAGAGGTAAAGGCTCCTTTTACTTTCCCCTTCCAGCCTCATGATTTCAGTCGCATCTCTGTCTGTTTAAAACGCCCCCTGGCGGTGATCTCTACTGTCGCTATCATCCTACACAATCACCCCACTGTACGTGCATTAATCTGCGTTCCCCCTTCTTACAGGAAATCCTGAAAACCAAGATGGAGAGATCCAAAATGGAGTAGAAAATAAATGGGAGGACGAAAAGAAAGCAATATCACTGAGGCAGCGATGAATGCGTTCTGAGTGATGTGATTACCAAAAAAAAAAAAAAAAAAAAAAAAATGTGGGCAAAGCCAACTGTTCTCTCCAGACACTTTAACTATTTAATTCTATCTCACAGATATTCTGTAATACCTTAATAAGCTCAAAGAAGCATGACTAGTGTGTTATATTAAGGCGGTATTGTGTGACTCTTGAGTTGGGTGATATCTGGACCGGCAGAGCATTTTGATAAATATTTTATTTGTTTCAAAGACGTTTCTTCTCGGCTGAAATCAAGCAGAAAACTGGGCATTTTACACAATGCTCTTATGAAAAATGGAATATTTATCAAAATCCTGCCCCGTGTTTTTAGATTAATAACAGTATTTAATGGGTCATGTGGTTTCTTAAGGGTTAGAGAACCGGGGTGAGGATGAAATAAGTTTCCCCTCACCCGCTTCACTCCAGCAACTCGATGGGTCAGATTTGTAGGAATGTGAGCACTGATTTGATTTTGATCTGTTCAGGTACAAATCGTGATTCTTGGCGCTCGTCTCAGCCAAGATGTCAGGTATTGTTATGCACGGAGGGGAAAACGCATACTGAAAACACCAAGTCGTCGTGCACAGTAAGAGATTATATTTTTTTTGCCGGCACAGCGTCTTGACACTTGAGATGTGAGAGATGTGCTGCGCTAGGAACTAAATGTAAAAAGAAAATTGCTGTTTTCAGCATGTGTTTTATTGTGTCACATATTTAATAGGTGAAATTATGACGTACATTTAATATTCAAATGAGCAAGCAACTGAATGATACGATTAATCATTTAGCCAGATGATTATTTTTAATGTTTTTTTCCAGCCATTGAACATTTCCTGAACCAATAAATGATAAACGTGTGTCTTATTGTTAACTCATAACTAACACTTTGTTTTCTGGCTAACTGAGTAATCTTGAACGTAGAAATTCAGTATATCTGTCACTGTTACTGTATGTGAACACGGCTGCATCAGCGAATATTGACACTTGAAGCGGATCCCAGGTGTCGGAGGGGAAAACGTGCTACTTCTGTGTTTTAGGTGTAAACTGGGAACACGCCGTCTTCTGGGCTGGGGGAATGTAATGATCTCTTCTCTGAGATGTCATTGTAACTCAGAGCAGTTAACGCAAGTGAAAATGTGACGGTGTGTAGTGTTGGTTATTTTTAAGCTTTTACTGACAAATGAAAGACCGCATAGTCCTCAGTGGGGAAAAATGTATGACCCTAATACATTTTCTTCCAGACGTGTTTTCAAGAATAAGTAGTCATAAGTCTAAATTTTAAGGTATGTTTATTTTAATCTCTATAAAAAGTAAAATTTTGTAGCTTCTCACATGACAGCAGTGATTTTAGGTCCATTTAATATCACCAAAGTGAAACCTTTTTCAGTTACTTAGTCACAGAATCCATTGATAAGCCTTGTGGACGTGGTGTTGGCCTAAATTCAAATATACATGTGACTGAGAATATGTATGTAATCTTTTCTCACTCGCCCTCCACTGACTAGGACAATTGTATTTAGGTCTTCACTCAAATTCAGTAGAACAGGGTAGTTTTTTTAAAAATTGCTGTACATGATAAATTCATATCTTTCATTTCACCACAAGTACAGATTCCTTTTGAGCCTCTCCCATTCACACCACGAAATAATCTTCTGCCTTAAATGGCAGAACCACAGTATATCCCGTCCTTGTGCAATCTACTGCAATATATGTGGATATTCTAAATTCCTTAATTTATGTTTTTTTTATATATATATTTGTCCAAGTCTTGTTGAGGATATTTTATTTCAGAGAGACACTAAAGCCCAATTTCTGGATGTGAGTCTGCAATGTAATGTGAAGCTGACGATATTGTATGGCTTTTTGCGTATGTCTTGCAAATAAAATTTATATTGAAATATGCTTTAAGATGTCAGTTTTTATGTGTAAGATGAATGTTTTTTATTATGTAGGTGCCTTTTTAAGCATATTGTCTTTGGAACTGTTGTATGACTTTTAAACGTTTTTTGGTGCTTAGAGATGAAACACATTAGAAAACAAAAGACTGACTTCTAATCATGAATTAAAAAGTCATTTTTGATAAATGTTAAGATCTTCTTTATGCACTTTAATCCTTTTTTTTAATTAAATGAGTCATTAAAATTGAAAGCAAAAGTGTAATAAACTGTTAATTAATCTTTTTCTCTTCTTTTAAGTTTACAGTTTTTAGTTTTAGTTTACAATTATATTATGTGGCTGCAATGCAATAGCAGTGACGACATATATTATTATTCTGCATACTTATTCGTCTTAGTCATCTTCCGTATCGAAATTTCGGGGCGTAGCTTTGAGGAAACCCAGACAATATATATATCAATGCGTACGGCTCGATCGGGAATGGTGTGCTATGACTTTAGCTAGAGTGGATGACATCATTGCTCAAGTGGATGACAACATCACTAGAGTGGATGACATCATCGCTAGAGTGGATGACAACATCACTAGAGTGGATGACATCATCGCTAGAGTGGCTGACATCATTGCTAGAGTGGATGACATCATCGCTAGAGTGGGAGAAGCTCTAGAACTCCACTGAAAAAAATTCTGTGTAACTCTTTGCATCCCAGCTCAGCAAAAGAGTTCCTTGGAGATTTTGTGTCTGAGTTACAACAGCTTGAAAAGGGTTTTGAGTTTGAGGGGAAGAAATTGAAGCTGAAGTTGGACTCAGTCATTTGTGACACACCAGCCTGGCCCTTTGTTAAAAACACAAAGAAACACAATGCCTACCATGGTTCTGACAAACGTGCACAGCCTGGAGAACACATTAACATGACATACCCATGAACAGACGATGCTCTAAAGACAGACGAATCGTTTTGAAAACACGGTTGATGAGAATCATCATCACGAGGGGCCACATCCATTTCATGGCAGCGGTGTTGGCATGGTTTCACAATTCCCTCTACATCTGTTTTTCAGATGCGTTCCGGAGCCCATGATACCTCCAGTGCGGCATCAATTTGCCATCGGGAGGTAAGGTAGGTAATAAAAGTTCAGTCTTAGAAGCTATATAGAGGTATAGCTTTATTGCAGATCACCCTCTGTTAGGGCATGTTCATGTGTGTATACATGTCTTGCTGTGGTTGTGGGGACACATTTGTATTTGAAACCCTCAGTGTGAGGTTAATGTGACAGCTTCAAAAGGCTTTTTGAGGGACACCTGTAGTGACAGAGGTCAGTGTCAGGATGAGTCTCTACGACATGAATGAAGCTGAAAGTAACGTCCTTTATACAGATTGAAACGTGAGGAGTGAAGTACACGCACCAAGCAGCATTCACGTTATTTTTATTTTTATTTTGTTTTTTGCACACATTATTTTCTATAGAGGCTCTATGAACAAAATCTCGCGAGAATTCCACATCACCATGAGCTACGGTGCTACGACTACATACATATCACTACACCTTTAACGCTTTCCTCGTGAGTGCGCTGACTTGAGTCACGTGCCTGTCAAACCCCGTTGCCCTCGCGCAGCCGTCGTCAACACAACTGAGGAAGTAGCAAGAAGCTAACCTGGCTAACGTAAACTAAGTGCTACGGTCAATACGTTGTTTTATTACCAATCGTATCGAGGTACTCAGTGTTACGTTAGTTGTTATCGACGAAGTAGCTGACTGTCTTTGTTCGGTTTTCAGCCGACATGGAGTGAGAGGGAACAATGTTTTGGAGCAGTAGCCGTGGCTTGCTAACTTCTTAGCTAGCAGGCTAACGATCAGCTGTTGTTTTGGTCGGAGAGATAGCTGGCTTACAAGCCAAACTGCTTTTCATTGCTGCAGTCAGCCACGCCAGGGTTTACTAAACCAAATTTCCTCGTCGCCTGTCTAAACACTGCACTGCTCCGTCTGTTAATGGCGACACACACAGGCGTACCACCCTAACAGAGTCGTCAGCGGTCCGTCAGTCAGCTGTTGTCCGACAGGCGTCAACTCCGTGTGGGATTGATCCATCAGAGCGGTCTGTAATCGAATCAGCAATATCGCTTCAAGATGCATGACGCGTATGAACCAGTGCCTATTTTGGAAAAGCTTCCCCTTCAGATTGACTGTCTCGCGGCCTGGGGTGAGTTGTTGACATTTTATATATCCCTCAGCTACTCTTTCATCCTTTGACATTGAGCTCGTCTCTATGGGCGTTTATTGAACTGCAGTCTCAGGTGTCCCATGTTTATGATGAGTTGCTTCTCCGCTGACATGAATGATCTCCCTGCAAGCTGTGACTGAAAAAAGTTTGTGTTTGATACCGTAAAATGACTGACAGCCTCCTTTGAACTGTCATTGACTCTTTGAGTTTCTCTCTCCGCAGAGGACTGGCTGCTTGTTGGAACAAAACCAGGGCATCTCCTTCTCTACCGAATAAAGAAAGATCCAGGTAAAAAAGGAAGTCAAAGTGATGTGGGATGCTGTGTGTTTGCAGACCTTCTCAACTTACCGATTCCTGTTTTAAATAAAACTTTGAGTCATTTTCAGAAGCAAAAATCAGCTCTACGGGGCTTTTAGTTGCTCTCAACCTCTAGAAAGAGAGATACAACTAAAAACAAGTACAACAAAGCTGAAGGAAGATAAACAGTAAATGTAAACAACATAAACAAGCTGCATATATAAATGCAAGGTATATAAAAAGCTATAATGAACAATAACATACAGTTTCTATACAAGTGAAGCTGTTTCTGTAAATTCTAAATAAGAATACAAAAGTGGAAAGAGTGCGTAACGTCATAGGTTACTTTATATACATGAAATGAGTGCTTATATACAGTGTATGCATGTAAACATGTACATAAACAGTATATACAACATGCTTACATTTATATTTGACAATGATGATGATGATGGTTTTTGATGAACATGTCTCTTTTCTCAACAGGGACCAACCGGTTTGAGGTCACACTGGAAAAATCCAACAAGAACTTCTCAAAGAAGATTCAGCAGGTAGAGAAGAACCACAGACTTATTTCTGCATAAATCAAAAACTATGTGAAGAAGGAGCATTTGAAGTCTATTGAGAGAGTCACAACTCAAATACTTCCAGATTTTTTGGAACTACATTCTGGTGTTTTCCTGTTATTAGTACTAATAAACATTAGACTCACTTCACTCTGTTCACCTCAGTTCGTCTCTTTTAATTGTCAATGGCCAACTCCCTCTCTCAGAATGATTCTGGCAGTCTCACACACCTCGAGAATACCACAGATAGATAGATAGATAGATAGATAGATAGATAGATAGATAGATAGATAGATAGATACTTTATTTATATTTATATTTATTTAATATTTTATTTATAGCATCGGCTTCAGCTTGAACAGCATGGTTTTGTCAACGTATCATGCTAACAGATGTCAGTTCTTAGCTGAGGTGTTAACGTCCACGCTAATGCCTGCTTTGAATCTCCTTTAACTGTGTTTCCTACTCTTCCCACAGCTTTACGTTGTCTCACAGTACAAAATCCTTGTCAGTCTACTGGGTAAGTTTTCCTCACAAACACATTTTTATGTATTAGAATGTGATTTCAGTGTAAGAGTTAATTCTTGACTTTTGAAAAAAGTTGTTCACAGTTAAAAGATCATGCTTTGTAAACAGTCTGCATCTGTGTATTGACACGCACAGCGGAGCATTTGTCTACATTATCACCGCAATACATAAAATATCTTTGATTGTCTTCTGCAGAGAACAACATCCACGTCCACGACCTCCTGACCTTCCAGCAGATCACTGTGGTGTCCAAAGCCAAAGGAGCCACGCTCTTCGCATGTGACCTGCAGGTCAGTTACAGCAGATTGTGCAATACCGTTAATGTACAATAATGCTATTATATTCGTGCATTTGTATTGTTTCCTGTTCTAAATCCCTCAAGTGAGAACAGTTTTCACATGTGCAGTATGTACAATGCATCATTCAAACAGCTCGGGGATGAATAAGAGAGAAAAGGCGGATGAGTCAGTATCTTTATAGTAAGCTAATTTAAGACCAGGGAGCTTTAATAAACTGGTTTATTCAGTTTGAATGTGTCATAATCTGTTTCTTTTTTTTTTTATTTCTAGTCAACTCATATTAATATTAACTTCCCTGGATCTCACCATAGAGTTTCAGCCTTCGGAAAAAGTGATTCCTATGTTCTCTGCATCCTCCAAATTTCAGTACGGTTAGGAACAAATAGAGACCTAAAGTCAAGACATAACAGTGTGGTTACAATCCTATATGTAGATTTGCAGTGCATGTAAAGTTCATCGCTCTTCCTCAGACATCATCAACACTGGCAGCGATCCTCAAATCTAACATGCTGCTGCTTCCCACCAGCACATACTGTACCACACGCTACACCAGCAGACGTTTTCAAATCATTCCCTTGTGACAGTTTCCTTCAATAAAAAGCAACATGATGTCCATTAAAGTGAAGCTCAAGCAAGTATCAGTCTATTTGCAGTGTACAATGGCCGCCTTGAAGACAGGAAACATCTATTAAACAGTATATTTTAAAACTGAACTGTAATTTGCGGTAAATGGACTAAAACAGGCAAAAGACTGATGTGAGTCCAAAGAAATCTTACGGCACAATTGTTGTATCCAAAAGACAGTCATAACAATGATATTCTTTCCTTTCATTTCCACATTTCAGTGTTGTACTCACATTTTCCCTGATTTTTGTATATTTTTTTTTTCTCCTCCCTCCCTCAGCAAGCCGTCTCAGGAGAGGAAAGGCTGAGAATGTGTGTCGCAGTAAAAAAGAAACTCCAGCTGTATTACTGGAAGGATAGAGAGTTCCACGAGCTGCAGGTAAAATAAAATATATCTGAGTGTGACTCACTGCAGTGTGAGCCAGATTTCTTTTCTTTTTTTTTTGTTGTTTTCCCAAATCCTTTTGACATATTTAGTCATCTTAATGTTTTCTTTTTGTCTGTTAGGGCGACTTTGGTGCACCAGATATTCCAAAGTCCATGGCCTGGTGCGAAAACTCCATATGTGTTGGTTTCAAACGAGACTATTACCTTATTCGGGTATGTGCTGCAGGAGAGGGTAACACTAAGCTTTATACACTTTATACACGCAACTTAGTGATCCTCAACCCATTATCTGTCATTTGTATATTAAACACTCATTCCTTGTCGACTTGCAAGAAGGCTGTAAAACGTTTGCAGTGTGTTCATTAATGGAGAAGAGAGGCTGTAGCCTTGATTAATGGCAGTCGTGGATTTGATTCCAGTAGCAACAGGTTTTCAGGGAACAATCAAAAGATTCATAGGAACCACTTAAACCTGCAGCATAATTCACTTCTTCACTGTTCATCTGCATGTTGAGTTTGTTCTGAAACTCTCATATTTTTCCGAAAGACTGCAGAAAACACAGTTAAACTTTCAGCGTTCAGCGGTTAAGTCTCTGTGGTGACCCCTGCGTGAACTGGCCTGAATCCTTTATTCATTATTCTGTGAAGAGGCAAGCTACAAACATTTTGCAGGTGCCTTTCAAGTCTGCAGAGAGTGTTTCATAGACAGACTTTGAGAGGTGTCACTTTTTATACCACGTCTGAAAACACACTTCAGACACAGGCTGTTATATAACTTGTTCTTCTGTTGCCCTTGATGTGTGTGTGTGTTTATTTTAGGCTTTTTCCTTTTCTTATTTCTGTTATTCGTAATGCTTGGAGTTATTCCTCTTCTTGGCTTTTCCTTAATGTTGTTTTACTGTCTATAAAGTAACTGACCTCACAGAGAAAGTTTTCGTCGCTAAGGTATTATTATCTGTATCTCCTGACTCACACGTGCCATCTCTCCTGTCAACCAGATGGATGGCCGTGGCTCCATCAAGGAGCTCTTCCCCACTGGGAAACAGTTAGAGCCTCTGGTCGCCCCACTGGCTGATGGGAAGGTGGCTGTCGGGCAGGATGACCTAACTGTGGTGCTAAATGAAGATGGCGTTTGCACCCAGAAGTGTGCCCTGAACTGGACAGACATCCCCATAGCGATGGGTAAGAAAGAAACACGAGAACAAACACTGTGAGGATTCATTTTAGATTCATCTTTATTTTACATCAGGTTACATACCATTAAAAAAAAAGAGGTTATATTTCCATGCATATGAAAAACAAACCACTTCATACCTAATCCTAGTTGCTGTTTCTATCCTGGTGTCTTTGCTAGAGTTAACTTGTATTCAATATCAATAGACACTGACGGCAAAGTCAAAAGGAGACACAAATGCAGAGTCACAAGAGCCAAACACTCTCCCCCAGCGCCCTATAGTTTATAGTTCGCCTTCCAGATAACACGGAAAATATTTTTGTCAAAATGTGTCACTCCTGGCAGCTCATTTCTCCCAGGGAAAACTAAATCTGCTTCATTTTATGTTGTCTTTTTAAACAATGAATCCTTCAAACCTCAAAAATCCACTTTTTAAACAGAAACAGAATGTGAACATCTTAGTCACATTTCAATAACATACACTGCATTTTATTACGGTTTATTGTCTCTCAAGGACGAGCATCTATTGATTTCCCTGAGGACATTGTCGACTATAAATTTGACCACTTAACATTAACAAGCTTGTTCATGATAATACCCATCTGCACTGGCAAGAGAGAGATAAATGCAGAGGACCAAACAGGAGAACACCACAGGGAGAAACAGAAGACGAGCTGCTGTGGAGACGCATTTTGTTTCGGTGGACGGCTTGAAATTGACCTAATTCGAGGTCACATGCAGGTTTTTGTTCGGCACAGAAATTAGAAAACTAATTCATCATCTGAGAGTCTTCCTGCGTGAGTGTGAGCATCATCTTAGATTCATTTCCTTCCTCTTTTTTAAAATATAAAAGTTCCCGTTCCCGTCTGATAATAGTGAGCTACTGAAACTGTACACAAGGCCGCATCAATGTTATTTGATTTTACTGACTATTTAAGAAATGTTGTGCCTGTGTCTGTAAGAGGACAATCTCAGCGTTTCACATACATATAATACCCACAATATCAGCATTAACCACCACATATTGATTTTTGTTTTTCTTTCTTTACTATTTTAAATGTTTAAAATCTTGTTTTTATCGTAGAGCCGTGTGCAGCTCATTGATTCGCTCAGCCCCTCCTCGCCCCGTGTCACTCCCTCTCTCTCTCACAAACACATTGACAACTGTCTGACCGTGTGCTATATTTGGGCCGGGCCGTCAGCAGCACCGGGAGGGTCATCAAAAAAACAAAAAAAAAATCCATAAAGTTTTTACCATCCCTGTCTGTCTCTCACCGAGCGTCTCTGTGTGTCAGGACCGGCCAATCACAATAAGCAATCAACCCTCACCGACCCTGACCGGAGCCGGTCACGGTCGGGTCGGTGTAGCGCCCAGTTCTTTATTTGTCACAAACGACTTGGTAATTAAAACCTTTGCACACTAATAGAGCAGGTCTCTTCACGTAGTAATTGGATATTAAAACAAACGCTCGATAAAGCGTTTGGCCTGAATACCGGCATCGTTCTGTCAGCTGCAGTCATCCCGCTGCTGTCTGCCTTTTTTCTTTTCTCTTCCGTAATCTCTCCTTCCCTTGTGTAAAGTCTTTTCTTTCCAGCCCGTCTGAGCCGTGCTGCTGCTTTCCATATGTCAGAGGAGGAAAAAGACAGTTTTAGATCAGCGTTCTCATCCCGTGACTAAGACACCGCAGGTCTGGGTTACTAATGAACTTTGTGACAGAAGTGATGCAGATGAGCTCTCTCATTGTTTTAAAGGCCCCTCTGTCTGTGCTCATTGGAATGCAGAGAGGAACAATATGAAGGGGAAATGAAGCCTCCAAGCAGTGGTTTCATACAGTTTGCAATTTCCTTGTTTTGATATGGTCGACATTGTGGCTTTGGGCGCGCATCAGCAGAGGATGAGCGCTGGTCAGTTTGAAATACTTTTGACTGACTTTCCTGACTGGTCGTGGCTGGAGCAGAGGGCCTGGGCCTTTGCCTGCAGGGGTAGTCTGTCCATCCTCAGGCCCGTCTAGATGGCTGTCTCCGGGTGGATTTCCTGCCCCATTAGCCTTAAGGTTTTCACTCCTTAATCAGAACTGAAGCACCTGCTGTCACGACACAGTTTCTGTTGCGTGGACAGCAAAACTCGCAAAGGGTAAATTCAACAGAAAGAGATAAAAGTTAGTGCTAAGTCCCCTTGTTTTGAAAAATCAAGAATGTAATTTTCTCTCTCTTTTAAATCCTGAAAGGAAACGCACCCTGTCGTGATTCACCACTTTCTTGTTTCCTCGCTATTGAAATCTGCAGAAAAACCATTTTTTATCACATTTTTATCATCCGTGCTGAAACCACTGCTTCTGTTTGTACGTGCCACAGGTGTCGATTCACATGCAGCGGCCAGTGTGTGTTCCCCATCTCATAAAAGTGTCTTTAAATACCCAAAAACTTTACTCGCCTTCTTTCCTGCAAAAAGTTGAAACGCTTGTTTAGATTTTGTCTTAATATTCATATTTCCAGACGTGTGTATTAACACAGTTGTTTTAATGATTTGCTGAGGATATTTAATAGTTTTATATCACAGGCTCAAGTTGTGATAATTTGGTTGTGACTGACGCACACAGAAATGTGACACTGCTGCCTCTGTTCTAACCTTCTCAGAGCACCAGCCTCCGTACATCATCGCTGTTCTCCCTCGGTACGTGGAGATCCGGACCTTTGAGCCGAGGCTGCTGGTGCAGAGTGTGGAGCTGCAGAGACCTCGCTTCATCACCTCAGCAGGGTGAGGCAGGCAGGCAGGCTGCTGTAAGTTTCTGTCCTTTCATTTCGTAGATTTTCTGTCAGTTCTGTGCAAAAGCAAACTGCAGCTAGATTCTGAAGTCGGATCAAGCTTCAGCACAAACAGACTTTGCAGACAAATGTTTATTTTCATGTAGAAGTTCAACCGTTCACATTGTGCTTTGCTTCGTCGCGTGGTCGATTAAAAGGAAGTAGAATTCAGACTTTATTAACGTTTTATTTATCAAATTGTGTCAAAGAAAGAAAATATATTGAAAGATTTTACGATCAGTTGTATGTTCCTGTTTTAACAGCTGACCGTGTTGTGGTGAGAAACATTACATCAGTTTGCGTCAAAATGGGAAAGTTTCAAGATGTGACAAGATAAGAAGTATAAACAAGAAAATATGTCATTACATGAAAAGTCTAACGTTATATTGTGAAAAGAATCTTTCATGCTAAAATGAAAACTTGAAGTGTGTGTGTGTGTGTGTCCTTTTTTGTTGTGGTGGCAGCGATACTCGTTCAGTACTAAAGCATTTGAGGTGAAAGAAAGAAAAGCCTGCAGTGGCTCTTGCAGCACAGTTGGTTATAGTTATAGTTGCACGGTTTGATGATGAATTGTGGCCTTTCTTTTTTTTTGATGCTCCCACTCTGTTTACGATGCATAACATCCCTAAAAGAGCCTCATGTATCACTTGCTGCTTTCATCAGTTCCCGTGATAATGATGCCGATAATGTCAGTTCCTCCGAGCAAAGAAAAACACTCTTGTTCCAACCTGTCCTCTCTAATCTTGTTTTCTCCTCTTATCTTCCACAGGCAGAATATTGTGTACGTTGCCAGCAACCACTTTGTGTGGCGCCTGGTGCCCGTTTCAATAGCCACCCAAATCCGGCAGCTTCTTCAGGACAAGCAGTTTGAGCTGGCTCTCCAGCTGGCGGTGAGCAACGGAGCCGCTCACTTCACTAATAAACCTTGTTATTAAATTCCTGAGGATTCAATTTTGTGCTTTAGCTCAGAGGATGGAACATCAGAATCACTTATCTTGATTAGGAGCAGTACGTCCAAACGGTAAAATGCTCAGGGTTTTGTTCTTTATGGTCAGCTTATCTAGCAATCCAGCTTTCCAGTTTTCCAGGGGCATTTCAAAGAACAAAAAAAAAAAGAGAAAGAAAGTGAATTCATGCAGTTTTCACGTTCTTGGGAGCTGGAGCTCTGATAAGTAAAACTGGAGAGATAACTTTTTTTTTTTTTGCTGTAGTGTGATGAAATTTTCTTTCTTTCTTTCTTTCTTTTTTTTTTCTTTCTTTATTTTTCTGCCAGAAGATGAAGGATGATTCAGACGGAGACAAGAAGCAACAGATACATCACATCCAGAATCTCTACGCCTTCAATCTGTTTTGCCAGAAGAGATTCGATGACTCCATGCAGGTGTTTGCCAAACTCGGCACAGGTAGAGCTCTCCGCTGAATTCTCTCTGTTCAGGCCAAATTGTGTGAAACAGATCCTGGCCTGGTTCAAACCGCAGGTGAACATAAGGCCGCGTTTATCTGTTTTGACCTGTCACTCGTTGCTCATATTCACTCCATACTGGAGGCGAACACGTTAAGTGTCAGATATCTGAGACCTCGTATGTTCTGCTGTTGACAGATCGTCACCGGTTTCACCCACATGGTGGAATCTGGTCGTAGTTTGATTTCATTTACTCTGCTTTTCTTTTTGTTTCCTTGAACTCATCAGACATCTGCTGCTTATTGTAGAGTAAATTGGATGTGAATGTTTTTTATTTAAGTATGACTTACAATCTCTGTGTGAGAATTTATTCCACAGTGATGACATGAGTTGAGTTGATTTCAGGTCTGGATGTTGTTGTTGTTGTTATTGTTCTGTGTTTATGTCACAAACTCTGAACACATTTTCCTTTAATCAGTGACTGCTAAACAAACTCGACTATCACACATGGAATAGGATTTAACAAACCCCACCTCCTGTGCTCTGCAGATCCCACCCACGTGATTGGACTGTACCCGGACCTGCTCCCGTCGGACTACCGCAAACAGCTGCACTATCCCAACCCCCTGCCGACGCTGTCCGGGGCAGAGCTGGAGAAGGCTCACCTCGCTCTGATCGATTACCTCACCCAGGTTTTAAAAAAGGATTTTAGCTTTAAATGTGTGGCCTCTACATAAACTAACAAAAGCTCAAAGGTTGTAATATTATATTGAAAACACGGATCAAGGAAATTGGTGTAAATCAAAGGAAGTGCGAGTTAATAATCTACATTTTCTTTATGTTCTTTAATGTCGTCACAGAAACGCAGCCACCTGGTGAAACAGCTGAACGACTCTGACCCCTCCACAACGTCTCCACTCATGGAGGGCACACCGACCATTAAGAGCCGCAAAAAACTCCTGCAGATCATTGACACCACCTTACTGAAATGTTACCTGCATGTAAGACCACGATCTTCCTGTTTTTCTTGCTTTTACTTGATGTATTTAATAACATGCCCTCCTCTCAGCGAGTCTCTGTTTTGTTATCGCAACACATCGCTGGCTTTATGTTCTCTACAAAGTACCACTGTTTGCTTTTTATTATTTTGTAATGAAAGACACCTTTTGTTATCACTGTTGGATTGTAAAGAGTTATTCATGTTTTCATCTGAAGCACTTCCTTGTTCTCTGCCTGCATCTGTTCACACTTAAGGTGAATGGATACACACAGGAAGGTTGGATCAACCCAGGACAGACAAACACAAGCCACACATGTCCAACATAATACTTTTTGATTTACAACCAACCTGTAATTGTTAGCGAAGGCTAGTCCAAATGTTTATATTTTCATGCTTAAAGTTGTATCAGCTCTTAAAAGCTTGGCGGTCTTCGCCCCTCCGCTTACAGCAGAGTGAAATAAGTCGGTAATTCTTAACACTCATAGAAGCTGGCAGCAACACTTGGCGGTTCGCTGTACCTCACATGTAGCCAGATGGGTCCTCTGTGTTAAACAGGCTCACCGGCAGGATTTACTTTGAGGTAACAGAACCTGAGTCTGTGAGTGTGACTGTCATTCGGGTGTAGTCGCCGCGGTAACCGCTTTGTGGGGTTGATTCGAGGGAAGTAGATTCCTGGCGCAGCAAAGCAAAAACGTTGGATTCACGAGTGGGACACAGATATAAGCATCCAAGTTCCTCCACAGAGCGGCTGGGTTCTGTGAGAGCAGCCCCCCCCCTCCCACCCCCCCACGTTGAAATGGGACTCTTCAATTCAGGGAAAATGCCGCCAAGTCCTTCTTTTTTTTCCGAGGTATAATAAGCCCTGTTTAAGCAGTGCAGCTCCCAGGGCAGGCCTAGATTAGATTACACTGGATGGATAACCTCAGAGTGCCTGGAGAACCTTCTGAGATAGCGCTTGCTTCGGTAGTGCCAAGCATCTGCGCCAGATTATTCCAACGATAAACACATCGTGAAGCGGAGGGGATCGGCTAATCAGTGAAGTCACCTGCTTGTAGTCTTTGGGTGAACTACAACTTGAACTTTTAAAAAGGGTTTGGAGAGGGATTCGTGTTTGGAAATGTTTTGGTGTTCATGTTGCGTAATCTCCTCGTATCCCGCCCTCTTCTTCTTCAGACCAATGTGGCCCTGGTGTCCCCCCTCCTTCGTCTGGAGAACAACCACTGCCACATCGAGGAGAGCGAGTACGTCCTCAAGAAGGCTCACAAGTACAGCGAGCTCATTATTCTTTACGAGAAGAAGGGCCTGCACCAGAAAGGTAAGAGAGTGCAAACCACCCAGTGCGATCTTAATCTGACGAATCATCGAGTATCAACCTGCACAAAGAGGCTGCGTATAATTATGGGAGTTGTCTCTTCTCCTCTCGCTGTAATGACAAATGTACGACGGACCTTTTTGGGGGCGTCCACAGTCATTTCACAGTCCTAAGACTCCTATTAAATCTGTCTTGAATACAACATATGTTCTGCAGCAGATTTAACAATGTTAAACACTTTTTTTTTACCATAAAATTACAAATTCCTCTCAAACAGTTTGAGATCAGGACGTTGGTGTTCAATTCAAATCAAAACGTCTTCTGCATGTGCTTGACACGAACAAAAGCAGAGAGACTTGACTTTTCACCCAGCTCTGTCTCAGAAAACATGCCATTAATGCCCGGCCCCTAATTGTGTGTTTTGTACTGAACCGTGTTCCTTTGGGAAACAAAAAAAACTAATTTGAATTCCATTTGATTATGTGTGATTCCAGGCGTAAAGATTAATCCGACACGGTGGGGATTCATACACCTCTTTCAGCTGTCGTTGGCTCCCCTGGAAAACTCTCTCTGTCGAGTTCAAGTGCGAGGTCAAATACGCTTTTGTTGCGTGAATGAGCAATAGCCAGTGTTACGTAAGGAGATAAGAGGCGCTGCATACATTAAAAACACAAAAACACACATTAAACAGAAGAGCGTAAAGTATGACAGTATGAATATCCTAGAAACTAGTCAAATGGAAAATGTACACACAAGAATTTATGTTATGTAATATACTGTAAGCTGGATTTTACAGGTTTATTAAATAGATTTTTTTTCTTTCAGTTTATTCTCCCTCTTTCATTGGATGAATGAACTGAAATCTGTTTTTATTCCAAAGAAATCTGCAGCGACCTTAATTCAACGCAGAGCCAAACGGTTTTCAGACCTCCTCTCGCAGCAGTTCCTCCGTGAAGCCGAGACAGTGAGCCGTGCATGTGCAATACCAGCGCCCCAGAACTGGCTCACCTAAATGAGGCGCGCTCAATTATCGACGTTATTAATTACACTTGCGCTTCTTCCTTTCTAATCTCATCCACAATGTAAGAAAAGTATCAGCGGTGGTTTTTTCGATCTTGGTAATCACTGCGCCGTCGCTTTAATTACAGGAGTAGAAATTAATATATTATAATATATATTAATATATAAGTTTATTCTACAGGAAACTTCTTCAGCTAGTAGAAAAAGGAGTACATATGAAAGAACATCGGAGGTCATTTTTCTCCTGCGGTGAAAGAAATCTCGACATATTTTCAAAATGTTAAATTAAGGTGAAAAGAAAAGTCAATGTCTGTGGAAATACATTAAGAGCTTTTCAAAGGAAAACACAATTCTGAGAAGAAACACTTTCCAGTGACATTTCATCTGAGATGATTGTTTCTTTTATTTTCTTGTTTTTCATCCTTGCGAACAAGAGAAGTCAATCACTGGGTAAAGACTGATATATCAGAGTTCAGTTTTATTTGTGTGGGTTTGTGTAGGAGTGTAGTTTATCTGTTGCAGACCTCAGCATGACAACTGAACACATCACGTTAAAAACACAATGAAACATCTGTTCCCAATTCCTCTTTCAAATGGGTTGTTGAATTTGGGGTTTAGTATTTAAATGAGGGATCACTCGATGCCAGACCTACATCGGCCTCTGCCAGCGGCCTCCTCGTCACATCCTCATTCACACACAAAAGCCATTGTGAGCTGGGTCGTGTGTGAATTCAATAAGTGCCAGTTATGAGCTTGTATCCTCGGCTGTTTCGGGGCCACGGCGGCGGTTTATCTCCGAGGAGGTTTCCCGCATGTGGTCAGCTCGTCATCCTCGTAGATCAGAGCCGTCTTAGTGTTATTTGGTTTGCGGTGGATTCTGGGCTGTGGTAGATTTCTTGGTGTGAGCGCGGCTGGGTTTAATCGGCCCGCTGCAGTTTGTGTTCATGATGTCATGCTGCTGAAGTCTGCCTCGCTCGCTCACTCTCTCTCTCTCTCTCTCTCTCCTTCTGCCAATTCAAAGCAGCTGTTCCCGGCCACCAATTAACAGTGTGTATGTGCTCCGTCCAATTTCTGTTGACAGAGGAATTATGTAACGCAGCGCACAGCAGAGTAGATGACGTCTTGCTACTTTCCATCATTCGGACTAATCTCACATTTGTTCTTCCTCCCCTTTTCACCCCCCTCCCTTCGCTCCCCTTCACCCTGTTTGCCCTCTGGCAGCTCTGCAGGTGCTGCTGGACCAGTCCACCAAGGCCAACTCTCCGCTGAAGGGCCACGAGCGAACAGTGGAGTACCTCCAGAGACTGGGTAAGGATCCACCCGCCGGCTCGAATCTGTTTCAACTCACGGCGTCAAAAGTTGTGCCCCCCCCCACCCCCGCTAGATGTGTTCAGCTTTGTTTGGCGTGATGTTGGGGAAGCCTCTGAGGAATCTTTCACTCTGATTGATAGTGGCTGTTGGATGAGATGTATAGCCTGCATCTGTTGCATGTCACGATCCGCAGCCTTTCATATCTCTGGCACCGACTAAACGCGAGGTTTTTCTACAGTGTGTTTTCTGTGTCACTCTGTGAATAGTTGTTACCTGCACAGCAGTGATGCAAAGATGAGTCCTGTCCTCACTGTGCACTTGGCAGTTAAAGGCACTGTGTGTGTGTGTGTGTGTGTGTGTGTCATCGTGACACTGCGGCGTAATGACGATCGTTTTAAGCCACTTGTCCAAAAAGAAAATCATTGAATTCAGTCACAAAGAGGAAGTTATTACTTCAGGCTGAAGGTTTCCTCTTCACTGTAGAAAAAACAAAACAAAAACCTGTTGGTTGAGATTTTGTTTGTGTTTGTTTCTGTCACATTTTCTCCTGTTTCTGATTAAACAAAAGATCAGTCCAGAAAATTTTCAGTGAAATTAGTTGCACTCCCAAAAACAAAACATCAAACCTCTTCGTCTGTGGTTTCATTCGTTCATTATAGACAAGTGATGGTCAATAAAATGATTTATTAGATGAATTATCTCTTTTTTTCCCTCAGTGATGAAATAAAATCATGTTGATATATTTTTTAATAATGTATACGTGTGTTTGTGTGCTGTGTTTTGCATTTTAGATGATCAGTTAATTTATGACACTGCATAACTGGGCTGCGCTTAACGATTATTTTCATTATAAATTAATGTAACTCTTATTTTCATAATGAATCAGTGAATGAGAAATTGTGATTGACGGTTGTTTAGGATTCTGTGACGTCTTCAAATGTTTTGTCCAACAGTTTTAGAAAAATATAAGACAGAGAGAAGCAACAAACCTCCCATTGGCTGAGAATTAAGGGGGAAAAAATGACTTAAATCATTGATATATTATCATCAAAATAGTTGCCGTTTAATTTTCTGTCAGTTGACAAACCAGTTAATCAGCTGAGCTGCAGCATTGATTCTTATTTCAGAAGAATGTGCATTTACCAGAAGTAACACCTTCTGATAAATCACACTGAAGCATGATGGGAGATTTATTATCATACTTCCTGTGTTTGTGACTCTAACAGCCGAATACGGCCTAATTACATAAATGTTTTGTATTTTCTTCCTCACCTGTTTTCCTCTGAGCTCCACAGATGAAGTTGAACTTACCTGTTTACTGTAATCCTGTGACGCAGGTGTGGAGAACCTGGGCATAATCTTTGAGTTTTCTCCCTGGGTGCTGAAGATCTGTCCCGACGACGGTCTGAAGGTGCAGAAAATTCTCATTAAACACGTCACATAATCACCTTCAACCCATATTCACATGTAGAAAACTGAGTTATGCTTTTTGTATTTTTTTTTTACCGTGGTTTGGTTTTGAATACGACCTTTTTAATTCACATAACCTCCAGATATCACCATGACAACAGACCTCTCTTTATAAACTGTGGATTTATTTTATTCCCACTTCTCATAAGGAAAGTGCTGATGTCGGTTTAAAAAATCTCTTCCCGTCCAGATTTTCACGGAGGACTTGACAGAGGTGGAGACTTTGCCCCGAGACAAGGTGCTGAATTTCCTGAAGGAGGGTTTCACGGAGCTCGCCATCCCGTATTTGGAGCACATCATCTACGTGTGGGACGACAAGGGTCCGGAGTTTCACAATGTGCTGATCCAGCTGTACCTGGAGAGGGTTCAGATCCTCATGAAAGAGTACCTCAGCTCACTGCCAGAAGGTACAAGCAAGAGAAAACCTAAAGTTAATTTAAGGTCACAGTATCTCTGGGCACTTGAAGAAAGTTTTACAGTAGCTTATTTTACCACTTTTAGAAAGTGTGAGAGGGATTAAAGTAAATGTTTTTAGACATTTCAGCAATAAATTGGGCTTATTTTTCATTTTTGTCCGGATTCATTGATGCCCACCTGAAGCAAAGCTAGAAAATAAAGGAAACACTTTAAATGGAAGTGTGTTATTGTAGTGTCAGAGCTGTAAAGGCAACGAGACCCTGGAGCTTTAATATCTTTTTCACAAAAACCCCCACCCACCATTTTTGGTCAATCAACTTTCTGCCAGGAGAATAGTTTATTCATCTGATGTATCATAGCATTTTCATGTGATTACATCACTGCATATGGGTTCGGTTTGCCTTTGCTCCCTCATCCAGAGGGTTGTCTCCGATCGCTCTGCAAATAAAGCCTGTGTCAGGGCTCATTATGAAGTCCATTTATCTCTGTGCGTTTGTGCCTTTTTAATGCTCATCCAGGGACCGCGCAGTGAAACGGACCTCTCCGCCAACACGGCAGCGTTTGCAGAGAGGCTCATTAATGTGCACTCTGTCTGCGGAATAAACTAATAAACGCCGCTAACGGAATAAATAAATCTGTCCTTGTGGCAGCTTATTGCTTCACGTCGTTCTATGAAGCATCTTGCAGGATATGGCCCTCGATGTTAAGATATTGTTTCTCTGAGACTGTTGTGGTCCGAGGATGGGGCCGTGTGCGTCCAAAGGTTGTCGATAATTATGTCCGTTTCAGCAGTAACTGCACAGTTTAGTTTCCTATACCTTAATTATAATTGCTGTGTCAGGAAAAAACAAAAGGTTATGTTTATGTGCCGTGTTACTTCCCTTTTGAGGTCCAACAAACGTGTGGGGTGTATTTCCTTCCTCATAAAACATTTAAAAAGCCCATTCCTAAAACTTGACTACAGACCACTTCCACACGACGCACAATACAAACAAAACAGGACGGTCCAAAACCAAAAGGAAAGTGCAAATGTGGCTCCGTAAAGCAGCAAAAAGTCTCTTCTGAGAAGGTGGAACCAGTAAATTTCTGGTGTTTTTGTTCCTGTACTAATCAGTTAACTGAAGAAACATTTCAGCTGTAGATACTAAAATAAAAACCTCTGTGTTGCTGTAGGGGTTCCAGCTGTTGCCGCAGGAAAGGAGAAGGGCAAACTGGGAGAGTTCAGGAACAAGCTGCTGTCGTTCCTGGATATTTCTACCAGCTACGAACCGGCCAGACTCATCAGTGACTTTCCCTTTGATGGTAAGAACTGAGGTTTCGGTGTGACGAACGCAGATTGTGGTAGTGTTTACTCCGTAGATATGGAAGGGAAGTATTTGTTTTTAATACAAATCAAAACCGTAGAAATTCATAATAAACCACAGATTTTAGGATGTAAAAACAGCGCATCTGCTTTTTGTTCCCATGACCTCACGTACACGTGTTCTCAGCTGTAGAAGCAGGTTTTACTGGGGTTTTATATGTTGAAGCTGAGGGGTGTGACTCGCACCTTTTTGACCTCGTTTTCCACATCTAAGGCCTGCTGGAGGAACGGGCTCTGCTCCTGGGACGGATGGGTAAACACGAGCAGGCGCTCTTCATCTATGTGCACGTCCTGAAAGACACCCGCATGGCTGAGGAGTGAGTACCTCCACAGGACAAACACCACATGCTCCTCCTGCACAGCTGGGTGTGAAGTGAACACTCCCTCAGCAGTGACTCTATGACTGTGAAAGATATTTAAATCAGTGAGATAAAGATTAGAAAATCAAAAATAGTGGAAAGTTGTTTTATGCCCTGAAACCATATTTAATTATGAGCCTGCTCTGCCAGGCAGCTAAATGATTTTTAAGGCCCATGTGACCTAATTGAGCCATCCTGATTACCTCGTTACAGCGCTGTGAGCATCGATCAACATCCTGAAAATAAGTAGAACTATCACGTTTTACATTTGCTCCTGTTTTTCCCCTGTGCGCTCTGCAGATACTGCCACGGGCACTACAACAGCTCGGTTGAAGGAAATAAAGACGTAAGTGGCTTTTAGTGTAATTTCATTTTGATTTGTGTCGCTGTTTTGTTCATTTTAGATTCGTTGCCCTTTCCTCTTTGATTTTGTTGTTCGTCGTGTCCTCGTAGATTTTATCATCGTTCTGATGTCGTTTTGTTTTGTTTTTCTTTTTTTTTTTTCTTTTTTGTTTTTATGACCACTTTTTCCATTTGGCACGCTCTGCTGCCTTCTGTTAAGAGCCTTTGTGTTTGCAGGAAGTGCTATACAAATATAATGGATTATTTATGGTACATGCACATTGCCAGTTCTACCAAAAAAAAACAAAAAAAAAAACTCCAGTTTTCTTCTCAACCGAAACAAAAATCAAATGTTGCTCGACAAAACTAATACTGACAGTTAAAGAAGCAGCATTGGATTGTTGGTGAAAATCAATGAATCACAAGGTCACAAAGAAATAAAATCATTGCCTCCTGTTAATATTAAACTTATTATTGTTGTTAAAGGTTAGATTTTATAACCTCAGCATCTTCACACTTACCTTCTGTTCTGACATTTTGACTATATTTCCTGTGTAATCTCTCCTATTTAATCATTTATTCTCTCATTACTTATCTTGGCAAATATTACATACATGACTTATTTCCTGTTTCAATAAATGAACGATGTTTTCATTCGTTGAAGGACTTTGTGATGATGATGCATTCACTACTCCCTGGTCATTTAATATAGAAAAAAAAAGACTCTTATTATTAAAACTCTATACATATTCATGCTCTGCAGGTTTATCTGTCTCTGCTGCGGATGTACCTGTCACCCCCCGACGTCCACTGCCTGGGGCCCATCAAGATGGAGCTGTCGGGGCCTCAGGCCAACCTCCAGGCAGCCCTGCAGGTCCTGGAGCTTCACCACAGCAAGCTCAACACCACCAAGGTAAACAAGAGGAGAGCTGCACTCTGTTCCTCAGCAGGGTGACTTAAGAACAAATCCCAGTCTGGCAATACTCACAAATAATTCTACTACTTTATAACACATGTTTACTGCCTGAGGACGGATCAGACCGAAGGTTGTCAGTCACAGAAATGTACTCGGAAAACTTCAAACTGCTCATTAAACCAGAACGCATGAATTAGTGTCTAATTCAACCCAGGGCTTTATTGTTGTTAGTTGACTCTTTGCAATCGCTCAGATTTCGTAATCATTTCTAATTCAGACGAGATGCGGCGGCGAAAGTGACACTGATAAGACTCGGTTTGTTTAAGATGGATCCAAATCGGATAAAATAACACGATTAACGACGACACGCAATCGCACAAATTCAGTCATTTGGCATTTGGTGTGAAAATTAAAGCGGCGACTGAACGGAGCAGAATTCCTTTTTAAAGGATTTGATTCATCAGTTTGTTTTTAGAGCGAGATCAGGCGGGTTCGCGCTGTTGGGGGGAGGGGGGGAGGAGGGGGGGGTAAATCAAGCTGCTGCCTCTGTGATAGAAAAGATCCAGAGAACCCAAAAAAAAGATTTCCAGCAGGGTGCCGGTCTCCCACGAGAAGCATCTGTGTTGTAACGTGAATATCTCTGATGCAGTTCCTCGCACATTTCTGTTTCCAGTATCTGCACCCAGAACCAAAATAGCTAAAGAGTTAATTGAATAAAAGCGTTTCTGTTGAAAAGTAGCTCGTGACCTATTTTTCTTGTCAAACCTTTGTGTCACAATCCAGCGAATTCTGTCGAGTAAAGAAAATATCCCCGTTCAGGAATGCTTGGTGAAGGTGTTTGGTTCTGTGTTTTTATCAGCTGCCAACTCTTCTCCGCACAGTCCACGTCAGCAGATTGTGTTTTCTTTCTTTCCCGTATATCTTATCACAAAGAGACACGCTCTTTGAAACGCCTCCACTGAGTCACTCTTAATGTATTAATAGAAAACTTCATCTGTTGTGTTCAGGTTGTAAAATGCACCGTAACAAGCTGCTGTGTCCGCGATTTGGATACGATTGTGTGCGAGAGGCACCGCTGAGCTGTGCCCCCCCGTCCCCCCCCCCGTCACACAGAAAGGTCAAAATTAAGAGGCTCTCGAGGGGGAACGTGAGCGTGTCGAGGTTCAGATCCCACAGACTGGACCTCTCCACCTCGTCTTCCTGTGCCACTCTGCCTCGCTGCAGCGCTCCCTCATTGACTTTAATGGCACCGCGCTTTCATTTCCCCTGGCCTCGCTCCCAGACGCTGCCTCGCCAAGAGAGAAGAAGGGGAGACAAGACAAGACTGAACAAAACTTCAGGCAAAACTGAAGCAGTTTTTCAACTATTGCTTTTTTCTTTAAGAAAATAAATATTATTAATTGTAGATGGTCACATTGGATGATCACCCACACGTTTTTACATTGGAGTTGGGTATAGAGGTTTTCCCGTCCGAATCTGAACCCAACCCGACAGGTGTTCTGTTTTTGTTTTTATGTCAGAACCCGACCTGAGTCGTCGTTACCACGGTTTCCTGTTAACCCTGATTACACATGATAACCGTCAACAGCCGGGTGTGCACCCTGCGTCGGAGGGTGCTGTAACTTTCTGAAATCTGCCCCACGCCCCGCTTCATGCTGTGATTGGCCAGCAGTGCAGACTCTTTTCATTCTTTGCACAACAACTTCTCACCTTCTTAAACCGTTACCACACTTCTTCACCTGACCGAGACAACGTACCGTACAAAACTTCTCCAACTCTGTGTAAAAAGCTGCGGCTGAAAGTTTGTTCTTGACTTTGACACAAAGAAGACAAAGTCTGAAAATGTGTAAATTTAATCCAGAGCAGCTGCTGAGTGGACCGAGGTCAAGAACGAACCTGAAATCTCAGCTCGGTCTGCTTGTGCAGGCTGCTGAGTATCCCTGTATGACCAGCAGGGGCCGGGCTGCTGCTCAAGGACACTTCAGCAAAACATTTTCACTCACGTTCCCCGGAGCAAGAGAAGTCTGCAGCTTTACGTTTACAAATCAGCCTCTTGCACCTCACGGCCGCCGTCCGGTCCTTCAGTGCTCAACCTCTCCCACCGTGACTGAAGACCTGTACACTCTGAAAATCTCCCCGACTTCAAGGACAAACATTCATTTTCTGATTCGGTGAAGACGTCAACGATCCGCTCGCACAAGAAGTGTAACTGTAACTGTTGGCCAGTTATCAGAAAGGCAAATTAGAAACTAACGATGTCCGGTCTACAGTGTTTTAACAAGCTAACTATTTGGTTTCCAGGCCATCAATCTGCTCCCAGCGAATACTCAGATCCGAGAGATCCGGGTTTTCCTGGAGAGCGTCCTGGAGGAGAGGGCTCAGAGGAAACGCTGCAACCAGGTGCTGAAGAGTCTGCTGCAGGCCGAGTTCCTCAGGGTGAGTCCAGCTGGGTTTGTTTACCCCGTAGTTAATGTAAAAAAAAAAGATTGTGCAGATTGTTTTGTTCTGACAAAGAATCCGGTCCTCTGTCTTCCTAATGAAAAAGATAATTAATAATAGTTTAAGGACAGAGTGGTTGATATATCTGCACCTGTGGCACAAGAAGCTTGAGCCGAAGATCCAGAACCATGTGACCAATCCAAGAGAGGAAACTGAAGCTGTGTCATCACGCCAAACCTGGAGCTCTGGGAGACTCAAAATCATCGCACAACAATCAGTAATGAAAATAATTAACCAGATAATAACTAAACACGTTCTCCGGCTTCAGGTGCAGGAGGAGCGAATCTTCCACCAGCAGGTCAAATGTGTCATCACAGAGGAGAAGACCTGCAGAGTTTGCAAGAAGAAAATAGGAAACAGGTAAAAACTGTTTCTTTTTAATGCTTATTCTAATTCTTATCGTTTCACTGCACATGTTGAAAATAGTTAGACAAAGAAACTTTGAATATTAAATCTTGAAAAAAAAAGTGGGCTGATTATTTTTTTAAGTGCTTATCTTGGAGTTATTTGGGGTTATCGTGAAAATCCTCATTAACGTGGAGATTACGACTCTGTCCATGTAATGTAACCATCCCGTTTTATATCTCTCATCTCTCTTTATCAGATTTTTATTTTTATTTTTATTTTTTTTTATGTCTGCAGTTTCGGTTTTATTAACTTGAACACGATTTTACGCCGTTGTGCTGCTGTTAATTTCATACCCTGTTCATTTTTTAGTTTACTCCTGTAATTTTTAATTAAACGCTCGTTCATCTGCCGCGACGCAGAGACTCAAGTAATAATCCTTTTTTTTTTCATCTGTTTGTTCAACTCTTCTCTTTCAGCGCGTTCGCCAGGTATCCCAACGGCGTGGTGGTTCATTACTTCTGCTGCAAAGACCGCACCGTGTGTCCCACTGAGCAGTAACAGGTTCTGTTTACTAATAAATAACCCCCCCCCGCCCCCCCGCCCTCCTCCTCTCCGCCCCTTTTCCTCCTTGTGGACTTCAGTGCTTGGAAATCCATGAACGACAAATACATCAGGAGCTTGGAAGTGCTCAGATTTGGACGCTTGTTTCCAAAGCACCTTGCAGAACTTTTTTTTTTCTTCTCCCACCTGATGCTCGACTCTCTGAGCAGAACCGGAGCTCCACTTCCTGTCTCTCTGTGCATGAAGAAACAGGAGGAATGTCCGGGGTCGCTCAGCAGGAGGGGAGCAGGGGGGGGGGGGCTGACATTTGAAATGTATGTGTCACTGTAACTTTAGAGGGGATTCGTCGTCCCTACACGTCGCCCACGGAGCCCCCCCCCCTCCTCTTAACACTGTGTAGGCCTCCAACACTGCTTCGTACGCCACATAGACTCTGCAGGAGTTCTGCTCGATGCCTTCTGTGACTGAAGATTGTGACGTCTGATGTCCGTCATGAGTGTCTTTTTATTAAGCATGTGCCGCTACTGACGAAGCAAAACAGCGTTCATGTTACAGCGTGTTTGACGGATCCGTATTTTAATGAAACATTTGAAGGGCGACTTCTCCGACTAACATTGTTCACAGCCGTGTTCTTCTCTTCATTTAGTGTCTTACTGCCAGACAGCATCCACTCTTTTAATGCTTTTGTTTTTTGGTTTTTGAAGTTGTTGTCCGTCTTGGTATTAGTTTTGTGTTTCATTCTTTCCCAGTCATATCAAAAGTTTATAAAATAGAACAAATTTCTAAAGCGAGACTCGTGAAGAGGAAGGTTGGTGTCACAGAGTCTCTCTTTAAGATAGGTCACAGGAGTGCAGCACTTTAAAAGTGGATGGATGTCTCGTTTATTTATTATAAAGTCTCATATCTGCGCGATACGAACAGGAAGTGACGTGAGTGACTCGAGAGGTGTGAGTGATCCAGGCGTTTTAATGGCAATATCGGTCTGAACCGCGTGTGTGTGTGTGTGTGTGTGTGTGTGTGTTTACCGTCCGCCCAGGAGGTAATTAAAGAAGCAGGTTATTGAACATAAATGCAGGTAATGAATGTAATGTTTTTAGAGTGAGTCGGACTCTGGACGGTTCACTTCCATGACTCAAACCTGTCTGTTTTAACCACTAAACTTTTTTTTTTTAAAGTTAACTATCTCACAAGTTGTAGCATTTCCTGCGTCTTCTGCTCCTTTAAATGCCCCTCCCCCCTTCCTCCTGTGCTCTTCAAGGTTTGCACACATCCTCAGCTAAGACTGTTTTCAGAGTTTTTGTTTTTGAATGGGAATATTTGTACCACTGTGTGTGAGGCTGTCTGAAGACCGACGGTGTTAATGAACGATTTCTCAATGAAGTTCTTTGATTCTGATGGAGGACCCAGCAGGTCCCGTCTGTGTCTGGCTTTAATCAGTAATAAATAATAAGCATTTCCACCCTGTCTGTCTGTCACTGACTGTTCACAGCTGTTCACACCGGTGCTGCTGCTTCTCACTGTGATCTCCTTGTTTTTGCTTACATTTAGATTTAGGACCTGCAGGAATTAATCCTCTATTTCTATTATAAATATATAAAATAAAACATGGTTCAAATTTATGGAAGCCCAGTGGTGCCAAAACTGAAAATAAATAAATGAATTAATTATGTGAATAATAGATCATAAATATTATATATGCTACACAGAACTATTACTTCCTAAGTCACAGTTATGATTTATTAAGTAAAATAATTGAATAATATTTCAAATACGTGAAATATTAAGTAGTTATTTTTGTTTTTTGTCATAAATTTGACGAATATAATTGTGATTTTCATTTCCATGCATGCTACTAGATGAAGTGATTTCTATGTGATTATTTAAATCAAAATGATTCAAAATTATGAAATTGTAAATTTATGCGTAGTATACATAGCTATATATATAGTTAGCCCCACGTTTACCAGCTCCAACATTAGTGATGCTGACATGAATGCACGATTTGTACTTTAGTTTTTCTACAACGTGGTGTTTAAATAAAAGATCTGAGTACTTCTTCCACCACTGATTAAAAACATTAAATGATCGTTTTTATGGTTAAATGTGAAAGTTATTTTCTTAAATGTTTGTGACATTTCAGACAAAGAGCACTTCCTCTTTCTGTGAGTGGCTCCACTCCTTATCTTTTCGTGGACGGTCCACCATCCCCGTCTCATCTGGAAGCCTTTTTCCCCAGATAGACCCATTATCCTCGGGGGCTGAGGCACCGGAGAATACCCACACTGTTACTTGTCCCGCTAATGGACTTCCTACTCTGAGCCGAGCCAGCTGGAGTAACAGAATCACAACAGCTCGACTGCTCAGCAACGCAGTTAGTCACACACACACACACACACACACACACACACTCGCGGTGGAGTCTGCCAACTGCTCTCTGCACCGGGGCCTCGGATGGATCCCGATGACTCCCCATCGTCTGGGCAGGGAGACAGGATCGAGCCTGAGAACTCGGCCCGGACCGGCGGAATATGTTTGGCTGATGGACGCATCACTGGAGCATATGGAGAGCTCCAACATGATTGTACCGAGGCTCCCCTGTGACTTCGAAAAAGCAGAGAGAAACACTGAATAATTCATCCTGCTCTGAATTATTGTAGCTCTCATTTTGAGTGTGTGAGAGTGAGAGTGTGTGTGTGTGTGTGTGTTTTTACTGGGATGCTGTCATGTCTTGGAATGGTGCGCCAGTGTGCAAATGGAAAAGATGTTCCAGCAAGAGTTTGCCCAGTTTCACCCGGCCCACCTCGGCTTTATGTTCTGCAGAGCTGGCAGGGACAAAATACCTCCATGGTTTTTTTTTTTAACTTTTTATGGAGGACTCGTTTGTGTAAAGACGGAGTGAATTACGCTGATGTGATGAGTGACTTTAAGACTCTTGTTTTGTTTGGGTTCTATGAATGGCATCGTCGGTCCGTCCACCGCTTTGTTTCCAGACTGAAATATCTCAACAACCGTGGGATGGATCGCCATGAAATTCATGAAGTTCAGACATCCACGGTTCCCCAGAGGATGAACCCTGTGACGACTCTGTTGCTCCTTTTGACTTTTCTCCAAACATCCAATATATGGCAAGATGCGTCACAAGATCAAGGATGAGAACTCTGTTTCTTCTCTGAAGGCGCTCTTTTAAAAAATTGCTTCTCTGTGAATTCTTTGTGTTTTTATTCAGCTGTAATCTTTTCGTGTTTCTGCACTGCTGTTCCTTTGTAAAGCAGAAGAGCCAGAGATCTTCTGGTTCGGACATTCACGCTTCCAAAGGTCGAATCCTGACTTTGGCGATCCACGACTTTTCCCTCCGGTGCCGCCACGAGTTAGATATCTGTGGCTTTCTAGTTAAAAAAAAAAAATATATATCTCAACATCTCATGGTAAACATTACACCTTAGCATCAGCATGTTAGCACTGTCATTGTTAGCATTCAGCTCAAAGCACAGCACAGTTGAGTGCAGCCTGGCGGTGTTGTTTTCTGTTTCCTGGTGATCCCAGACTCCCACAGCCTGCAGACTCAACACTGAGGTTTACAGTTTGAGGGTTGTAGAAAAGCTTTTTCCCCAGAGTTATTCTTTGCTGACAGTCACAGACTAACAGTAACACACACACACACACACACACACACACACATATTGACAGCTGGCCTGCATGCAGACTCACAGCTGGGGTAGAAGTGAGGTATTAATACACACGTCTTAGAAAGTAAGAGCAGGAATCATGAAACGCGTCCTTGAGAATCTGTTTCTCTGAAAAATGTCTTTGTAAGCATCTGTTTTCTTCTTCTCTTACCTGCTCAGGATTATCCTCAATGTGTGAGATTGTGCTTGAGATGTGTGTTTAGGAGGTGTGTGTGTGTGTGTGTGTGTTTCTTCCTAATTCCCCTGTGCTTTGTTTTAACGCGGCCTTCGGTGGTTCCCAGTCGCCCGCCTCCGGCACTCAGACAGCTAGGCGGATGTGTTGTCCTGTTTAGTGACCCAGCACTTTGACACGACTCCAGCCGAGTGTGTGTTTGTGTGTGTGTGTGTGTGTGTGTGTGTGTTATCTCCCCAACAACAAACAGTTCAACTTATTTGCTAATATTTGCTGGTGGTTTAAGTGCGGTTCAGCTCAGGTGAGCCGGCGGGCGCGGTTTGAAAAACACCAGAGGACACAAAAGTGAGTGGCACCACTTAAACAATACGTGTGTGTTTCAGGTCAGTGTACTTTCCTGCTCATGAGTTTCTGCATCCTGCAGCTCCACCCGTCTGCTGTGACTCGCTTGAAACAAACCACAAATGATGTTTTGTTCCGTCGGACGTCAGTGTTTGGAAAAAAAGTCTGTATCTCCTCTGCCCGAGTGACTGATTAACAAAACAGTTGCCCTTATAGTAACTTAATGAGGAGATCCATCATGGGAAAAACAACTAGTATGGGCCATTTAGTGTTTGGTGTGATGTCTTACTTTTCCTGCTGGTAGCTAACCAACAGCAGAGGATGAAAGATGATGGATGTGACGTCATGCTGAGACTGGACTTTGAGATCAGGGATCATCATGTTCAATCACAAACCAAAAAACTTCCTATTAGACACATTTTTCATCCTCAGTAGATCCGTCGTGGGCGTCTGTATGAAACAGTTTAACGGGGATGGAGCGCATCACATAAACTCCTTTTTTTTTTAAAAAACTCCATGACAACCGAGCAAATTCCACCCATTGGTGAAGAATTTAAGATGCGGTTGAAAAACCTCTGGAAAAAGCTGGTGAGCGGACACGGAGTTAGGATTATCTTGTCAAACTACATTATCATATCCTCTGAAACTGTGTCTGTCGTCAAGCTGAAGCAGCTGCTTCCTCACAGCAAGTCGACTGAGTACGTCACTTACTCCATATCATTCTCACCTTGAGACTTGAAAGCAAAAATCTCATTATAAACATGTTGATATGTTTTTCTTTTTAATTTCCTAATTTTAACATACACACACATATATACACAGTGCCAAGCCTTCCAGATAACAGTCCAGTGATAGTTTAATGGTCAGGATTCAGGGAATTTAAAGCTAAATTAAAGCAATATGATATTTTTTTTGCTGCTGTGAAAACATTAAGATTAAGTCTGTGATCTCCGTCAGCTGGAAGTTTAACGGCCTCGTCTCAGGCAGCGCTCCGTGCCAGGATGATAGATCTTGGGTGGAGTGTCACTGGAACGTGGCCTAATGCAGAAAGACTTTGAGTTTCCCAGAGTGGAGCGT